CGGGTTCAAATCTGACCTGTGGCTCCACTCCTGCACTCCCTCTCTCCCCGACACCATCCATGTCCTGTCTCTAAAATAATGTCATAAAAAGCCCCAAAATAAACCTCAAAAAAAGAAAACAACGCCGACAGCCGGCATGTCAACGAGTGTTTCCTGAAAAAATACACAGATCAAAACATGTTGGCGCCCAGTTCAAAGTTTAATGATACTCGATAACTGGATATTCAATGATCACACTCAAAGGCAAGCAGAATATTAACTTGGACATTTTACTTGCAAAAAGAAAAAGCATTGCACAATGTGGCAACCACCTGCATTTTATATTTACTGAAATGAAAGCCTGTCTTTAATCCAGACAGCAGCTCTGTTACACAAATACAAAATAAAAAAACACAGAGGAGCAAAGTAGGCTCAAATCTTGGCCGGTTGCATCAAGCTTTACACATCCACTTTGATAATTTACAGCTCACAAACATCCATAATACATACAACAACAGAAAAGAAGAAGATATTATTGCTGTGTAAGATGTATGTACAGGTTTGATTATAAAACGACTAGGCCTACTCTTTGGAGGTGAAAGAGTAACGAGGCTCCATGGAGACGGCACTAGCGGTGTCCGTATTTGGCAGACCAGTCTGTTCGCCCGTGGATGCTCTGAACCGGAGGGCGAGGCAGCAGGCCGGAGGTGCTCTTGTTGACCATCGTTGTGCTAGCAGAGGTGCTCATGTGACTCCGACCGGACTGCCATGTTGCATAATCTACAGAAACAGCAAAATTGAAAAATTGAGGTTTTAAAAAAAATGGAAAAAGGAAGAAAGCTTCACAGACATGTTTTTGGGAGCGCTGAGACTTATTTAAACTTGTTGAAAAGAAGGATAATATGTGACCTTTAATACACTATAAACCACATCAGATCAATGAATGACCCGTTAACAGAAAGCTCTGAAATCCAATCCTCACTTGATGCTGTTGATTCCATTGTAGGACCCTGCTGCCCTCTGTGACCAGCAGAGCCGAGGTCCTTCTTGTAAAACGATGGCATGTATCCACCTGGGATTGTGTTTGTACCTGACATTTCAAACGAACAAACAAACACAGATCCATTTATTTAGTAACAATGGAAACATAAAGCTGCAAAGATAACAGTGTAGACATCTTGTGAGGGTTACCGTGAGCTCCTCTGCTCGGCAGAGTCCCTCCAAAGGGGATACTGCTGTTTCCCAAAGATGGCTGCCAGTGAAGTCTTTACTGGCATTTATGGCCACGTTCTTCTTTGTGCTAATGCCTGAGGACGAAAGAGAGAGCAGTCTAATTCCTCCTAACCAAAAATATATATTTATGAATATTTATGGTGCACAGCAGAGGTGGACGATCCCTTCCTCTTTGACTCTTCACTACCTGCATCTGATACCTAACTTACAGCTGCATTTCCCTCTGTATCAATAAAGTATCCATCCATCTATCTTTCAAAAAATCTTCTCTAGAAATGTCTCAAAAAGTGAGTTCTCTTTGATTTAAAATGTACACTATCCTAAATTGTTCAGTATTTATTTGCTGTATTGCTTTAGATTCTGAAGTGACAAAGAAACTCCTCATACTTAGATCACACCGTTATTGTTTACAAAGGTAATAACATTTTTATTTTAAGAAAATATGGCATGTACATTTATTTTGGATGCTACCTGTTTTTGATTTTGTCACCAATAAGACATCTGAAAATCTATCCCAGGGTCAAAAAAACTTGTCTTTAAACTCCTGCTCGTCTATCCAGAGAGACACGCCCCCTAGCTGCAACCCCGGATGAGTAGCACCGCTGTGCACCTGGAACCCATCGATCCTCGAGGAAAAAATAAATCTTGAACAAAAAAAGGTGAATACAGTCTGTGTGCACGCTAAGTTTGCTTATTGAATTTTTAATGAGGTACTGCCTAACTGCATGAACATGTTTTGAACCCTTTTCAGTTTGGCATTTTAATGCAAAGCATACAGTTACATCTGCTACCTCAAAAATCCTGTGATTGTTCTGCTGAACCATCAGAACGCAAACTGAAACTAAACCAGAGTTGACTCTGAAAAATGATGACTGTGTAAGCACACGTGGACACTCCTCCTCAGAGCTGAGGTCTACTCCTCAAAAGGAATATTACTGAATATTACCTGGTAAATATCTCGACTGCCTCAGGTAATGCTGTTTAGCTGAAGCGGTTCTTGATGGCTCTTGGTAAGCTGAAGACTTGTTCAGGTTCAAAGGTGCGTCTTCCTTTACTTTGGGTCGACTGAAATCCAGAGCGTTTCCATACCTGAAAGAAAAGACGTTCAATCAGACACAGATGGTGTGAATAACCTGCAATGCTATTTTTTTTTTTAAACCACAGAGCCTTGCTTTTTTTTTTTTTGCATATTTTGTGCACACATTATTATCGCTTGTGGAGACGGACTACAGCCTCACCTGCTCAGCGCGTCCTCCTGCTGCCGCGACTTCTCGCTGGAGAAGTTGCTCTTCCCGAGAATACTGATGGATGTGAGATGAGAGTCTTCGTAGTCGTCCCAGTCTTCGCCTTTGAGGTGTCCTGTGCCGTGGCCCCAACGTCTCCGTCCTCCTTTAGGTTTCAGCTGGTAGCTCAGAAGGTTGGAATTCTCTGTCTCATGCCTCGCTTGCTAAAGATACAGAAAATAAAAACCATCAACCATGTGAGGGAGGAAAACTTTCCACATTTACATCAAATGGTAGCTAGTGCTAAGTATCCTACGCACAGCTGTGCCATCTCCAATACATTACACAAGATATTTAAAATAAATTAACAATAAAAAAAGATTTAGTTACTAAAATTTGCTGTTTAATTTTGTTCAAAAAAATGTAAAAGATTAAATCATTGACTAACACTTTAAGAGGTGTTATTTTGTTTTACAAATATGCTAATTAAGTTAAAAAAATATAAGAATGTGTTTATTTAAATGTTCCAATGGACCTATTTTTAATTGCGGAAACTGTTAAAGGACTTTTAAAAACCATACTGTAAACATGGGAGTCAAGCTCTCCAGGGTACAGAGAAGGTTATCTCCAGTAAACTTCTGCTTTCAAGCTATCTCACTTTACTTTAACTGCCAATTTCCACAAAGTCCGTGCAGCCACTTCAGCACCGCTCACTGCCACTCTCGTCAACGCTCCTGTTTTCACAGCAAGTCCATGTTTCAATTCAATCCTGAGTCTATTTTCGTCAGAGCTCGCTGCAAGCACGAATCAAGCTGGACAGAATAGATCGAGTCAGACAGGGAAACGCATGTAGTGTCTGTGAATTTCAAAATAAAACAAAATATGCGGACGCACAATTGTTCCCTCCATCCCTTTATCAACATGCACCGTTTTTAGATCACGGTCATTTCGGGTGAATTTGCATGCAGTTTGAAGATACGAGCCATATGAAGAGCGCTAGGCTGCTCATGGGTGACATCTACTGGATCAAAAAGTTGCATATTCTTCCTTTATACTCTCTTCTGATTACCAGTGTGTTCTCTGTGCTAGATTTGTCCTGACTGTCTGGCTGTAGAGATAAAGAAACAAGCACCACCACACACCTTACTCTGCAGACTCTTGTCAACAATATAAGGGAGATGGCTCTGCGGTGTTCCTTGAGTCTGATCCTGCTTCAGCATGTGCTTCGGTTGCTGCTCTCTGACCAGCTCCATGTGCCGTTGGTACGCCGCTGCCTGGGCGGCGGGCGGCACAGGGGAGGGCTGGATCTGCTGGAGAGGTCTGGACGGGGGGCAGTGTTGGTTGTGAGGTGGAGGCTGGGACAGAGGCAGCACAGGCTTTAGCAGCAGAGGCGGGTGCTGCAGCGTCTGTTGTTGCTGTATAGGAACCTGCAGCGGCACGAGGCTCGGCTGAGGTCTGCCCTGCTCCAGGATCTGCTGGGGCGTGCCCAAAGCCTGGCCCACGTGGAAGTACGAGTACCTGAGAGCCTGACAAGACAAAAAATGGAAAAAACTTCAGCTTATATTATCAGCTGTGAGAGATGTAGAAATACTTGTTTGTAAGACTTTACCTGGCAGAAGCTGGTCTCTTCTTGGGGTCCCACTGCAGGAGGTCTGTCATCAGGTGGATGGCTTCAGGACTGGCATTAGGGATCAGTGTCTTCAGATTACTGGGGACGCACTGAGGCCACCGGAAATTCATAGCACTGGCAAGCAGGTATCCCTCCGGCCAATCGTTCTAGAGGAGAGACACAGTGAATCTTACACACCACAACAAGAACATCCAGAACTGACAAACTAGGTAGGGTGACTTATTTATCTGATACTGGTGTCATTTCTCTGCTATCTCTTTAAAGCTCCCCTCCCCAATTGCCCACTTCCCTCTGATTGGCCAGCTCTCTGGAAGCCTTCTTAAAGGGGGCAGAACGCTGCAGGGCTACCAGGGGACGGAGAGCCTATGGAAGAGGTTTCATCGGCCTATGTAGAGGCTTTAGGTAGACTTGTAAAATTCTTGGTTTGGTATTGGGACTGGTGTCGTTTGATTTGCAGGAAAAGCCATTTAGCGCCCTCTGCAGACTAATCCTGGGATTGCTCCAACATACGTTTACCCCATGAGCTGAAAATTTGCTCTGGTTTTAGTATCTGTTTCCAGCATTTTATCACTTATGTGAGTTTTCAATGAGTCCTCAGAATTACCTTCTTTGGTGTCCCTAAGACTTGGCAAATTTTGAATATGGTGTCTACTTCACTGGAGCCAGGGAAAGAGGCCTGAGGGTGTAAAGCTCTGCCATGATGCAGCCAACGGCCCACTGGTCTATGGGTGAACTGTAAGAGGTGGATCTGAGGAGAACCTCTGGAGCTCTGTACCTGGTTCAAAGATGAAGACCAAAAGGAGTTTAGCTGCACTGAACTTTAGAACATGCTTTTTTCGATTGCGAGTCCGTTACGTTTACTCACCATCTGGTGGAGACGTAATCGGTGTACGGCGGGCGAGATCGGATTTCTCTGGCAAGCCCGAAGTCGGCTATTTTCACCAGCTCTGGGCCCATGCACAGGAGATTCTCCGGTTTCATGTCTCTGTGAAAAAACCCTTCAAACGACACGAGGCATGAAGAAATGAAATAGATGTGTCAGGGCTGTCACAACAGAATGTTACACTTCATAATGACACGTGTAAGAATCCAATCATATCGTTTTATACCTTTTTTGTTACCATGGCAACACAAGTCAAAGTCACAAGCACTAAATAATGGGTAGTTTCTTGTTTTTAATGACTAAAAATAGCAAGTAATCTCCTGCACACCGTCTAAATTCACAAATATTTTGGTACCAAAAAAAATTGTATTTGTGTAATCTCTCTCTCTCTCTCTCTCTCTCTCTCTCTCTCTCTCTCTCCCTCTCTCTCCCTCTCTCTCTCTCTCTCTCTCTCTCTCCTCTCTCTCCCTCTCTCTCCCTCCCCTCTCTCTCCCTCTCTCTCCCTCTCTCTCCCTCTCCCTCTCTCCCCCTCTCTCCCCCTCCCCCTCCCTCCCCCTCCCTCTCCCCAACAATGTGACTTCTGTGAAACACACATTGAGAGTCTGAAGTTCTTTAAAGGTTTATTTTTGTGCCTTTTCTGGATAGAGTCTGAAATCGGGGAGAGAGAGAGAGAGAGAGAGAGAGAGAGAGAGGAATGACATGCAAAAAATGAGCCACAGGCTAGACTCAAACCTGGGCCGCCCACTTTGAGGACCACAGTCCCCGTACATGGTGTCCGTGTATTAACCACTAGGCTCGTAGATCGTATCGTTTTATAGTATAAAAAAAGTATTGCGGTATGGAACATTTTGGCAGCCTTACCGTGTTTGTGAATAAACGTGAGCCCCTGAAGTATCTGGAACATGATATTTCTAACAGCTGATTCAGGGAACAATCCAGTCCTACAGGGAGAAGAAAACCCGATTCAAAACTTTGTTCAAGCAAGAGAATAAAAAAAGTTTGAAATGTGAAATTAATAATGAATGAAGAAATAACACATACGCGTACCGGTCTTTCATGAGCTGATATAAGTTTTCCTTCATGTACTCAAATATAAAGTACAAGTGATCGTTCTCTCGTATGACCTCCTTCAGCTTGATCACATTGGCATGGTTGAGTTTCTTTAGGGACTGAAAGAAGAGAAACAGGCGATGTAAGACTGTGTGGCGTACACAAACTACAAGAGTGGAAGTAAATCTAACCACACACACACACACACACACACACACACACACACACACACACACACACACACACACACACACACACACACACACACACACACACACACACACACACACACACACACACACACACACACACACACACACACACACACACACACACACACACACACACACACACACACCACACACACACACACACACACAACACACACACACACACACACACACACACACACACACACACACACACACACACACACACACACACACACACACACACACACACACACACAGGTAAACTGCAGCACATTCTGCAACACACTCTAAAAAGCAAACCCTTCATGTTGAAACATAGCTCAGTCAGGACTCGGTGTATAGAAAATGCTGCAAAGGCGGGTTTTATGCTGTAACTTTTAAAGGGGAAATAAATGTAGAATAAAAAAAGCAGGATGAGGAAACGTACAGCTTTCCCGTGCGCTGGGATGATTCAGCTTTAACCATGCTACAGCTTAGTTAAGGGGGATTTGGGGACTTTATAATCTGACATGCCTTCATATTGATGTAATTCGCAGGATTTAAAGGACCAGCATAGGCTCCGTGTTTTTTTTTTTTTGCAGCGTTAAGTTAAAGCTCCAGGAGAGGGTTGGGGGGAGAGGGGGAGGGGGAGGTGTAGGTTAAGAATAGAAACCAGAGCTCAAAAACCAACAGCACACAAGAATCACCTTCTGCTCTTAGAGCCGGTGTTTGACTTCGAGCTGTGAGACAGAAGGTTTACGTTGTGTTAATGAAGGGAATGTTTCTTTAATGATCCAAGAAAAAAAAAAAAATCAACCCAAAAATAATCACAGGATGAAAAACCTAAAACACTGTTTCACTGGTCACTGCATCAAAACAATCAACAGCATGCTTAACATGTTACACTGCATGTGATATTTGAATCTGAGATCAAACTGCGCTGCAATAGTCAAGTCTCTGTGCGAGCGCTATAACCTTACTAGACGTTAAGCTCTTTCAGTGATTACCCTTCACTTAAGATGATTTAACTTTTTTTTAAAGGTAGAATCTGCAAATATTAACAGCTTAGTGTATTCTAAGAATGAAATAAACCTTCATGTAACTCTGGATTTAAACAGGTGAGTAGGTGGAGCATTAGGCCAAACATGACCGAGGTCAAATGAAAAACCAGAAATAGATAAACTAGCAGATGTGCCAATAGTGTTGTTACAGCTGTCAGTGACCTGGTGATACAGAGAAAACAGTCCCTACAGCTTTGTGTTGATTATGAGGTGGTAGAGCTTTTTAAAGGGAACACTTGGTCGGTGTTCAGTTACGTCGTGTTCGGACCGGTTTGAGACAAATAATCCTAGAGCCAAATTGTCTTCCTCGTCCAGCGCTGCAGTAAGATCAGACAACGTGGATCTTTATTCAAAGCTTCAACAACGACTTTAGAACATTTACATTTTACACTACAGAACGCTCAGAGGAGTACGGTGGCCGGGAAGGGCAAATCAAAATTACAAAGTGCGAAACACTTTTGACAAAGCTTGAGACAAAGTTACACTGTGGAAAACATTTTCACATTTAAAAACAAGATTCCTGAAGCAAAGCACATTTAAACAAATTTACATTTTAGATGAGAAATGTACAAGATGCTTGTGCAAGTGTTTCACATCTTGTACATTTCTTATCTAAAATGTACATTTGTTTTGTTTGAAGTGTTTAGCTTCAGTAGTTTGCTTTGTTTGGGGACTGGTAAAAGTGTTCTGCCGATTGTAAATGTGTCTCAGTGCTCCTTAAAGAGTTTTAAATCTAGGTAATGTGTTTTGTAAATGTAGACATTAGCTACATTAGTTTTGTCTTCGGTAAATGTTTGTTGCTTTGGTTAATTTTGTTTAAGAAAATGTTTTTCAAAATGTAAATTTGTCTCAAGCTTTGTGAAAGTGTTTCACTTTGTAAGTTTTGCACTTCCCAGCCACCGTAGAGGAGGGACTTTGCTTTAAGATTAATCCACGCTCATTTTTCCCAAAATCTAATTCTGAAACCGTGTTCAAATGAAAAACCATCACTCACCTTGACTTCACGGAGGTTCATGCATTCTTCCCAGGAGTAGAATTTTCTTTTCATTCTGGGAAGAAAAAAAAGAAAAAAGTATTACTGATTTGTTTGCAGTGACGTCACAATGCAGAGCAGCAGTCTCTTTTCAAGTTCAAGTTGAGTCCAACAGTAAGAGAACAGTAATGTGCAGAACATGCAGAAAAAGTCTTTGCATGCATGCACGCCTGGACAATCACACATTTACTATTCTGCTGCTCACTTCTTTATCGCGACCAGCTCCCCCGACTCCAGACTGCGGCCGAGGATGACGGAGCCGTAGGTGCCATCCCCGAGCTGTCTGATGTTGGTGTATCTATTCATTATGCTTGTCGTTCCATAGAGTCAGGCGGGTAAATTATTGGGAGGAAATAGAGATGTGTTCGCCTCCTGCTGGTGAATGCAGCCAGATTTTCCTGTGACAACAGCAGAAGACTACGGGCAGAGCTGGAGGACTCATGGTGTCATGGACTTGCCTCCCTCTAGCTGAAAAGGTGAGGAATTGAAAAGAGATGAAGTTTGTCTGAGGCAACATACAATAAACATAATCTTTAACAAAACTAGCATGAGACGACTCGACCATTTGACCTCACACTAAACACTTAAGAGTCAAACACCTTGTCAGTACTGAGGAGAAATAATATTAATTACTCCTAAATGAACTCAAACGGAGTCTTACATGGACTGTGTTTTTGCAGAAAGCAAAATGGATTTGATGTTTTGTTAAATATCTTTGCATTAAGTGAAATGTTTTTGCCGTCTGGTGATATGATTTTTTTTTTTGCAATCATGAAGTATTTGTGTATCTGACCTGCAGGGCCACAGTCAGATCTTATTTCTTATGCAATTAAACCTTTGGTGGAAAGAATATACCGTAATAAATCACATGTGTATGAACTCATTATAGAGAGAAAGGGATGAAAGTAGTCCTCTGAGCGCTTACACCCTGAACTCAGCTCAGCTATAAAAAAAAAGGAGAATCCAGCTCTTTACTCACAATAACAGAAATCATTTACAAAAAGCCATTTTTTTTTTTTTAAACCTGTGAGTTCATATTTATGGATGTGTTAAGGTGTGGAAGGAGGTGAAATTGAATCATTATAATCTAAAAAGTGTGTTCCTGTTCACTATTTTCCAAGACACCAAACAATACAGGAGTCCAAAATAAAACTAAATGTTTATCAATTTCAACATGAATGATATCACACAATGTTCCCTCCAGATTGGACTACAACTAAATAAATGCAGTTTCAAAAACTACGATTTACACCTGCAGTACATCTGTCTTCAATCTTTGTTTTTTTATATATGATATTGAGCTGGGTAAAATGTATGGGTGAGTTTAAAATAAAAGTCCTCAGTCATAGAATACAGCTCTTTCCTTCATCTGTATTTTAATGCCATTACACCTATGTTGTTGTTGTTGTTGTTGTTGTTGTTGTTGCATCCTTGACGAAGCTGACATTAACTGTTTTTCATATTTTAACTAGTTTGCATGAATTGCTCAGAATTAGAGCTACCACCAAACATCAAATAGGATATTGGAAACGGGATATAGTTCACCCTGCAGGTCATCACATCAGATGGGAGAGTGTGTTTGGGGTTAATTGTTAACCGGAGTGTCGCGCAGGAAATTGTTGCAAATTGATACAATTAACGTTGTGTTAATGAGGCTGGTGGGTTCGGCCCAGCTGCTGAAAACAACATAACATCCTTTACATTGAGTTAAAAAAAAAAAAGGGCCTCAGTGACTGAATGTGAAACTTAAATTAATACGAAAAAGCATCAGACAACACTCACCCTCCTCACGTCAAATAGACAACAACACATGGCCGAGCATCCGGGGGTCGACGTGTGTGACAAAATGCTCAAATGAATAATAATCAGCGTTAGAAGATCCACTCTTGTCAAACCGACTTCATAAATATAATGTTATCCAGGCCCGTTTTTTTTCTTTCTCCAGCAGAGCTCATCATAATCTCGCGTTGTTGTAAAAACAAATCACAGCTCTCCTCCGTAAAACAAAGATTACAACCCGAAGCGAGAGGCTTCCCTGCAACTTAAATCGCGAAGCTCTGCATGTTTAAATATATCCAACTATAGACTGTTTTTGGTAAACAGTATGACACATTTGCTTTCCACACATATAAGCAGGTGAAATATATACAGTGGACCCTGAAAGATGGAAAACATCTTTATAAAAAATGAAAAACAACGATTTACCAAAATTACCAAAATAAAAAATGACGATTATTTAAGCGTGCAAAGCGATGTCGAAGGAGAACGAGCATTAATGCTCTTGTTTCGCACTTTTCGTCTTTGGTTAAACGTGAAATCTACGGCGTGGCAGAAGGTTCAAAAGGGTTAGAGGTATTTAAAGTAAAAGCAATTATGATCAAGGCTCCTTCGTTGGGGATTTTATACAAAACGAATCACTCTTAAATCAAACTTCTTAAATTAATCAATCCAATTCAATTCAAATGAGCTTTATTGAGCTTTATTTATTTTATTATTATATTTAATCTCTATATGCTTCATGTGAATACCTTATATTAATCACCTCCAGGGACACAAGCGGTCCCCAGTCTGGGGCATCCTTATTTTGGGGAACCCCTGAAGTAGGTTACTCTTAGTGTAAAACAATATATATATATAAATATATTGTGTTGCAATTGGCAGATGAACATATATGTTTATTTGCAATACGTGCATTGATAAATAGATTTTGACCATGACGTTCACCTTGGTGCGTCAATTCAATCAGCGAGGTAGACTCAGAGGCGCTGCTTGTCATCAGGTAACTGCTTGGGGCCCCAGACCAGCAGGGGGGGCCTGTGAGGGCTCACAACCTTAAACCAAAGCAGCGGACCAAACGTGCAAATTTTGCACCGACAGTAGGAAACCTCCCTTATTGGGCCCCCGTCTGACAGCACTCATTCTTGTTGCCCTGCTGAGCGTTGCATGCATTATTTCTGGGAAAACCAAAGTCGATTAATGAAAGTCGACAAATTAAAAATGAAGAGGAGTTATCCGTCTTAAAGAGGAAGAGGAGTAAGCGTAGGGACGATGGCAGACATGATGTTGATGAACGCTGGTTAGAGGGCCCTCCTTCTGATTCTTGCTTAGGGCCCCAAGAGACTCTAGAATCACCACTGAATATTTGAATTTATTTTTTGAATATTTGAATATATTTACTTAATAGGGACAATGCAATTTAACATAATCTCAATACAAAGCATGAAACTGATGTGCTGCATAAAGAGTTTATAGCTGTTGCTAATTTCCAACTTGTGTCCCCAGTTGAGCCTTTGTGTAAACAAACAGATTAAAATGTACAACATTCAGTTACATAAAACCCCAAAACACGATATGAGGATACATTAAAATACATGTACAAATGCTATAAACCAGTTTAAAATAAAGTTTGACGATACTATTTAACAGTGGGTACAGCTCTGGCTTGCGTTGAGTCAGCATTTCACCTTCATCATCACCTTCCCCTGGAGGTGGTGATGGGGAGAAGGATGATACAGAAACTGTTGAACATTGTGGACAATAACATGCATCCCTTACACGATCTCGTGTGTGAACAAAAGAGTGTTTTTAGCGGGAGGCTACGGCAGCTAAGCTGCAAAAAGGACAGATTTAAAAATACTTTTTTTACCTACTGCAATTGCACTTTATAACGACTCCCCTTTACGTAAGGACAGAAGACATTTAAACTTTTAAACTTTAGCATGAGCTGCATATATCAAACTGTATTTTGCACACTTGACTGCTTTTTTATAATAATTCTTTATTTATCTATCATACTATGCACTGGCAGAGCTACTATTTTGTACTGTTATCTATGAGTAACAGCTACTTATGCACATGGACCATCCATACCACTGTTTTTATCCTGGCTATGTGGGCTCATGTTTGTTTTGTATGGGTGGGATTTGTATGTATATATGTGTTGTTTTGTGTGTTTGTATGTATGCTGGCTGCTGGAACACTACAGTTTCCCTGCTGGGAT